TCAATTTTTAATTTATCAAACACTTTGGCTCTAATCAAGAAAGGAACTTTTTAAAAAAAAGTTATTTATTTATTAGAGAGAGAAAGTGCGCACACAAGTGGAGGTAGGGGCAGAGGGAGAGAATCTTTAAGCAAACTCCACACTGAGTGTGGAGACTCAGGCAGGGCTCATTCTCATGTCCCATGAGATCATGATCTGAGCCAAACGAAGAATTGGCTGCTTAACTGACTGAACCACCCAGACACCCTCAGAAAGGAATCTTTTATTACTGTCAATTATTAGAACAAGTACAGTTACTGGTAATGTAAAAAGTGACCAACACTTGGTTGTCACTTTATCGTAAAGGACTTGGGGTTAAAATTTGAATCTTCAAGTTTTTATTTTAAGGAGGAACGTCTGGGAGATATTTAAATATACTTCATCCGCATTTCAATTTAAATGTTATTTAAAAGCCAAGATAATTGCTACCTACTCTGTTATACACTTCTGCTTTATGTAAGACTTAATAACAATCTTAATTAGGCTAATTTTAGTCAGATTAATACTTGTGTATGTCAGCATTAACTACTAAATACCACATACTGCAGGATTTTAATTAACACTGAGGAAAAGAAATACTCCTAGTATAAACATTTTTGAACTGGAAAAGGCTAAAACAAAGTATGTCCAATTACGACAGATGATAAATCACAATATCACTGATTTTAGATTTTAGGTGAATTAAGGTTGACTTTTAAACGGATAAATCTGCTCACATGTAATGTTAGGAAAATACAGTCTTGATACACAATTCTGAGCCTATCAAGCCTTTGCCTTTCACAGTTCTGGAAGGTTTGGAGATTCTTTATAGTTGGTACTGCGATATGCTTTTTGATTTCGTTAGGTGATAAAGTCAAGACTGTTATATCTTGAGTCAGAAACTCTTCTCTCGTTGCATTGTTTATGAGCTAGACAGAAAAAGTAAGTTTCTTTTTTCCTTTATTAAATTTCTGGTTTGACCAATTCTGTGAGATTTCCCCATCCCTCACTCTTGGCCTGGGCTGTGATTATCCATGTCAAATACTAGGCATCTGCACCATCTGCACCATCTGCTTCCTGAAACATGACAGTCCCTGGAAGGGGGATGACGAATGTGGAAGAGAGTGGGTGGGGGGGTCTAAGCAGTAACTGCCTGTTGTAGTGACGAAAGGATTTTTTTTTTTAATTAATTGCAGAGCCTTAATTAGAAATGGTAGTAAGGGGGCTCCTGGGTGGCTCTGTCAGTTAAGCATCTGTCTTTGGGCTCAGGTCATGATTCTGGAGTCCCAGGATCTAGTCCCACATTGGGCTCCCTGCCTAACAGAGAGTCAGCTTCTTCCTCTGTCCCTCACCTGGCTCTTGTTCTCTCTTTCACTCTTGCTCTCTCTCAAATAAATAAATAAAATCTTTCAAAAGGAAGGAAAGAAGGAAGGAAGGGGAAGGAAGGGAAAGGAAGAGTAAGGAATAGTAGGAAGGGGGCACCTTGGTGGCTCAGTCATTTAAGCATCTACCTTTGGCTCTGGTCATGAACTTTGGGTCCTGGGATCCAGCCCCGCATTGAACCCTGCAATGGACTCTCTGCTCAGGTGGCAGTGTGCTTCTTCTTCTCCCTCTGTGCTCTCTCTCTCATTCTCTCCCAAGTAAATAAATACAATCTTAAATAATAAAAGAAATAACAGTAGGGATTCCAAATTAACAATATTTTATTTACCTGCTGTCATCTAACATTTACAGCTGGTAAGTGGAATAATAATAATAATAATAATAATAATAATACTGCTGCAATGGCCTGAGAATGAGAACACCTGATTCAAATGACACACACTCTCTTTTAGACCCTTGACCTATTAAATGACAGTTTATGATGAGGCTAAATGGGATATGTATAAGAAGGCGCCTAGGTTCAAATTAGGAATTCATAAATACTTGTTCACAATTTATGAATTTATGTACTTATATATACTTCTCTCACATTTTCAAGGCACTTGGGTTCGAAGTGAAAGGAGATTTTAATATTGGACTAGTTCAGTTATGTAAATTACTACCAAAAAATTACCTGAAGTTTGTGCTTGTATGTCCTGATAAAACTTGTTAATCTTCATAATCATAAGTGGAATATGAAGAAGTGAAGCAAACATCTAGTTTTAAAAGATGCATATCATCACACTTTTTTTTTATACGCCCATAGCAAAATATTATGCAAATAAATGAACAAGTATGTAAATGAACAAATGAATGGAGTCTGGCTTAGACACAACTGAATTCAGTATTCTGTACTCAGAGGAACATAGCTCAGTTTTGTTTTTTTTTTAATGAGTCTAGTTTTTCCTTTTTCCTGTCCAACAAGTCTGTTACCAATCTTGAAGGGGAATATTTAGTTCATATATATGAAATATGTTAGGTAACTCTGCCTAACTTTCTTCCATCCATAAAAAAACATATCTCTTTTAAAGAATTGAAAGGATTTTAAATATGTAAGAGTGGAGAATTGTCCAAGAGAGAGTTGTCTGTATTTAAAATGAATTTAAGGTATCTTATTCTCAGGAAAGACTTCTAATGTAGTACTTTCAGTCACTCTCTGTAGCATATTTTCCTAAAATGAACCAATTTAAAAAAAAAATTAGTTATTAAGCATAATCTGGGAGCCCACATTGGATTTCCATTATACTGTACAGGACTGCTGAAGTTTTTCACATTTCGCATTATCAATTACCCCCATTTTGTCCTGCATTCATTATGTTTTAATAGTGTACTTGCTGGAGGCACCTGGGTGGCTCAGTTAGTTAAGCTTCAATTCTGGGTTTCAGCTCAGGTTATGGTCTCTGGGTCGTGAGACTGAGCCCTGCATTAGGCTCACACTTAGCACAGAGCTTGGATGAGATTTCTCTCCTTCTCCCTCTGCCCCTCCCCACATGTATGCTCAATCTCCCTCCCTCTCTCTCTCTCTCTCTCTCTCTCAAATAAATAAATAAATAAAATCTTTTAAAAAATAGTGTGCTTGCTGAGAGCATGTACTATGCCTTGCTTTTTGTTTATACCAAGTGTTGGACATTCACTAAATACTGGTTTTAGAATTTCTACATTGGCAGACCAAAAAGCACTTTTTAAGACTTAAGGATTATCAAAACCTAGTAAGAGTTACAGTTTACCTAAACCAATTACGATAAATAATGTTAGGGTTAGAGGCTTAAGAACTCAATCAAAAAAGGTTATTTGCTAAAGGCATCTGTCACTGGAGATAACAACATGCACTGAGGTAAGTTTAGTCACTTTGAGTTCTTTCCAAAAACAGATCTACCCTGTGAGGTGATCAGAGGTGATCTGGTTGATGGCTTTGGTAAATAACGGGAAGCATGCTCCCTAAAAATAACTTCTACAGAGAAACAACCAAAAAACTATAATAACAGGTTACTAAAAGGCAGTATGGTCGCTACTCATCTCTGAAAACGAGGAATTAAGAATAAGAACAGGTTAACCAAGAGGAGAGAATCTTCTAGTTGCCTGACCTTATTTCAATGGAGTTATTTCTCACGCAGACCATAAGACATTAGTTTATCATTATACGGTATTTCTTAAGTGTTTCAAATTCCCTTTGCTTTCTATTTATGCTTACCAGTTAGACCTGTGTCCTACACATGATGGCTCAATACTAGTTAATATAATAGAGCTTTCACCATGTGTCTGGACCGTGTTCCAGGCACTGACATCATCCAGCATGCTTTTGAAAGTCTTCCAGAACAGAGGGACCCTAAATTGATTGAGGGTATGCCCCTCAGTGAACGAAAAAAGGGAACTAGAAGATGAGGAAGGTTAGGTGGCTTTTCAAGGTCACGCAGCAGCAGCTCAGCGGCAGAGCAGAGGCTGAGGCCCAGATCTCTGATTATTGGGTTGAGCCTGGTTTGGCTGTATCAGTACTTGTCCCCTGGTCCATGGCGGTGTCTGAGGGATCTCTGCCAGGCTGAGGCAGAGTGTAGTCAGAATGGGCTTCAACTCCTTCTCTGCCATTGCAACTGGAGAAATTTTATTTTATGGTCTATTGCTTGTGTTCTGAGTAAGGTGACCTAATTTTTCCCCCTCTCAACAATGAAAGTAGAGTTTTAGTGTTCTCACCATAAGAAGAAAGCCCCAATTACATGAGGTTGAGGATGTGCTAACCAACCTTAATGTGGTGACACTTTGCAATGTATACTTGTATCAAACTGTCACATCGTACACCTCAGATTTCCACAATGTTAAGCATTAATTAAGCTGGAAGATCAATAAAGCTGGAAAAAATGCTTGAAAATTTTTGCTATGTACCTTACTATATGAATAAGTATAATGTAGAAACTGAATCACAGTACTAATTTTTAGTAAATTTGATACTGGTTCAGAAGTTAATACCTCGCAACTATAGTCAGGCATTATTTTGGGGGTTTGTTAACCTGTGTTAATTTTTTTTTAAAGATTTTATTTACTTTAGACAGAGAGAGAGCATGAACACAGTGGTGGTAGAGGGGCAGAGGAAGCAGCAGACTCCTGGTTGGGCAGGGAGCCTGACACGGGGCTCAATCCCAGGACCCTGAGATCATGACCTGAGCCGCAGGGAGATGCTTAACCAACCGAGCCACCCAGGTGCCCCAACCTGTGTTAATTTTCAAGAACATATTCAGCATTGACTTGGGAGTAAGGAAGTAAGTAAGTAAGTAAGTAACCGCTCCCCTTGAGGAAAGATAGGCCATTTGGTAGCACTGGAAATTTCACTGGGTCTTTATATCAGCTGTGTCCTCTGAGGAAGCATCAAAGGTGGGAAGACAATGGGCCACTCATGTCTGCGTCAAGACTCGAGGAGCTGGATGTTCTTCCTCTCAAATTCATTTTCTTCCCAGCTTGTCAAAATGGGTCTCTACTCCAGAACATATAGCTAGCTGAGATCTTAGCAGAGTCTTTTTTTATTGCAAAAAGTTGCAAACAGTTCACTTGAGATGCTAAGTTGTACTTACTAATGCATGGCCACAGAAATGATCCATCTCTCTTCGAGGGAAAGAGGAAGGTGCTTAAATACTCCATACAAGGCGCCAGAATTAATAATGGTAGGGTGCTGATGACATTCATTACTGCAACTGGCAGAAGAAATCCATCCAAATTCCTGTTGGAATTCATGGTCTGCACATAATAGCCTGAAGGAATCTGTAGTTGGGGGAGGGGGAAAGCAGCCAGGCATTAAGAGAGTGGTTTAACTCTAGAGAAAGCATCTTGCAGGAGATCCCTTGCCCTTTGCAAGTGCTCTGTCTGCGACAGATGAGCAGAATGCTCCTCTCATCCTCCATGTCCCAATTATGAGCTGGCACAGGGCAGTATTGTCTCTGTGGAGTCTATCGACAATACTACTGATTCTTTATGGAGGAATCTTTTTGTCATCCTGACTTCTTCATCTTCCTATGAAAGTAAAGGTGGCCCTAATTTTGTGCTTAGGTTGACACCTAAGAAGTCAAACAACTTACTGAAAAAATATAGCTCTGTGTATAAGCAAGCAGACTTTTTCCTGAAACAATAAATTAAAAACCAGTAGAAGGTATTAAGGATGTTTGTTTTTACCCTGATGGAAAAAAATTGGGGGCAAGCAAAAAAAAGCCTTCGAATGGCATCTAGTGTGGTAGCAAAATAGATAGGAAGGATTTTTACTAAGAAGAGGGGCCCAGGGTAGAAACACAATACTTGTCAGAGGCTGTCTTTGTTGGCTCCTTGGATGGGTTCCACTTCTAAAATGAGCCAAGTAACAGGAAAAAAGAGAAACAAAATATACTTGTGTTTACACTCTCATTTTAAACTCAGTGTGTGACATTAGTGGACCACAAAGGAAGCTGTATGCAAAAGGTTTGCATAATAAACTAACAGATAAAAAATGAACAGCAAACATAATCCCCCAAAAGCAAAAACCCAAACGAAGAAGACCTCTACCACATCCCAAATCCTCAGTGTAGTGTCAGAATTTCTTCATTTTTAAAATAACCCTAATCCTAACTAAAAGCATAACCTGAACTTGGAGACTGTTCAAGTATTCCAAACCTCTTGTTAAAAAGCACAGGGTCACAAGAAAGAGGGCACCTACTGGCTTTTCTATGTGTGAATGTGGCTGCAGTCACTCGTGATTATCAGTCACAGAGCCTAGTACTTCTCTAATTCCCAGTGGAGCACAAAACTGCTAAGTCAACCTGAGTCTTGTCCGTAAGGGATGGATTCACCAAACCATTTTTTTCTTGCTGTGCGTGAACTACGATAGGATTTGTGCCTTATTGCCATACTGGGAGAGCTGCCCACCTCAGACATCCAGATGATCACTTCCTGTTCGAGTCTTTTCACTGACTCCTCTATCAATCGTACAATTGGAGAGGGTATAAGAAGAGTCCGAGTCATAAGCACAGCAGTTAATGAACCCATCGCTTGTAAAATGAGCCTCTTGCTATGTTAACTGCCTAAACCCAGGGATAGACCACATTTTCACAGACATTCTTTCTATCTGTCTAAAATGTGTCCTGGTGATAATTCATCTTCCAGTCTTCAATGTGACCTTTAGGATTATAAACAAGGATTGCTTTGCTGGGGGCAGATGGCAAGACTGAAGGGAACATTAGCTAGTTCTGCCTCACTTCCATAAAATTATTAAGCACATATCCCCCAATCAGAGGAAAATGAGTGATGCTTTTAAAAAAGAGTGCTGGCAGCAGATCTGCTTGAAGACTGAAAGGCTCCCAGCATAACTTGGAAGTTTCTGTTACTGATTTCAAATGAGAATTATTGTTAATAGGAATAAAGTTATTATCGGCATGAATCACAGACACAGAAACCTGTTAACTTAATAATGTGGCGAATGTACTATTAATCTTTAGTGAAGCAATATTAATATATTGCCTAATCTAAGAAAAGTCTCCAGTGTCTTGAAAGCTTGAAATCATTTCTGGTTCTGCCTCAAGTTCTGAAATCATCCCCTTTTAAAATTTTAAATACTTTTATTTCATACAAGCCTCTGAGTATTCAGAAATAATTGCTGTCAATAGAGATTCATTTTCACCTTTGAGTGGCCAGTAATGTCAAATGGCAACATCATCAGCCTTAATATCAACATATTTTAAATGTATGTCTTGGAACTGAAGGTCAATAAAGGCTACTAAATTTAAAATACGGAATTCAAGGATGTTTTATTCTTGGTACTTTGATCGCCTTTATGCTGGTGAGTATTTCATCTGAAGGTAAAAATCTACTTTCAGCCTATCCCATTGGAAGTTTCCTCTGCCTCTCTTGAGAAGCACATTCTAAACTTTTTTTGGGGGGTGGTGGGGAATTTTCTGGCATAACATTACTGTGTATAATTTTGGAGCCTATAGGTCTGTATCAGGGATTTTTAACCCAGTTGCAAGAGAGACATTGTGGATAGTAAACCCTGGGTGTTCATACCAGCACTGAATTGGGATGCCATATATTAGTGGGGTGACTGCAAGCAAATTACAGGTTACTGCATGTCTCTGAGACGCATATTTAGGACCAGAATAACAACCACTGTAAGCTTGCTGTGGGGATTAAATTAGATACTGTGAAGTTATCTTTTAGGAGTCATGACCATATAGGTGATCAATGAATAACAGTTTTTGTTCTTTGCAATACCTGGGCATCTAGATAGTTAAAATTCAGTTTATTGGAATTTATTGTAATTTATGTCAAATTAAAAAATTTATGACAGTTTTCAGAAGAGAAATTTAGTCAAAAGGAATAGTAAGTGTCACTGCATTACGAAAATAAAGAGTCAGGAATTAGTGCTATTTTCACAGAATGTTCGAGGCTAGCTATGGACTACCTAGTAATTTTATACTTACTATTAATTTTGCCCTTTTAAGATGTTCTTTATGATATTAAAGATTATATACACAGGTAATATTTTTGTGTTTTTGTACTGACTGCTATAGTGCAGTCAGGAAAGAAGTTGAATCTGCTAGATTAACCTTGCTTTCATGCAACGTTTACAGCAAGGGTTCTTGGCAAACTTTTTTGCAGCGGGCCAGATAGAAAATATTTCCATATGCTGATTCTATTGCAAACACTCAAGCCTGCTGTTTTCATGCACCAAGAAACATAGTATGACAAATAAACAAGAATGGCTATGTTCCAATAAAACTTTATTTATTGGTCCTGAATTTGGAATTTGATATGATTTTGTATGTCCTAAAATATTTTTTCTTTTGATTTTTTTCAGGTATATAAAAATTTTAAAACTTTTTTTATCTGGCAGGAAATGCAAACAAAACAAAGCAAAACAAAAAACCAGCAAGCTGGATTTGGCCTGCAGGCAGTAATTTGCTGACCCCTGGTGAATTAGAGCAAGCATGGTCCTAAGAGTCCGCAGGTAGATTTGCCTTCCCTCTCGCTATTATTAACGGTGTGACTTAACTGTCCTTCCAGAATCACTTAATTTTTCTAAGCCTCAGTTTCCTCTTCAGCAAATGAAGTAGTTGAGTAAATTAATCTCTAAGTTTCTTTTTCAGCTCTACTGCTCTGAGATTTACAAATCTAACTCACTCATTAGCCATCTAATTTCCAAGTTAGCAGCAAATATAGTCCTGAATTTCTTCAAAGTCTTTATAGTCACTTGTATTTCTTTGTAAGTTTGTTTTTGACCATTGTCATATTAAAATTGTTCTTTAATCACATATGTCTTAAAAGGAACTTTGGACTTGCTGTTTTCCCTCTAAATTCTCCACAGCACAGGGATGGATTCACCAAGGAACTAAGGGTGGGTGGGGAAATAATCTCTTGCTCATTAGAACATATACTTGAGTACAGGGGAAGTGGTACTTAAATCAGTCAAGTTAGCTACGTGTTAGTACTAGATTTTAAAGGTTTAATGAAGGAGGAAGAAAAGGTTGGGTAATCGCCCACAAATTGCATATTTTCGTGCATTGCTCTAATGCCTTGTGACTATGCACTCTGAAATATCGTCTGCATCTTCTGAAAGATATTTCCAGTTTTACAAGAGAAACAACATACTAGGTTCTCCTCAGGTATGCCTCTCTCTGCCTGACCCCTCTTGTCTCTCGAAATTAGAGCCTGTAATGTTGAGAAGCATTTACAGGATAACTCCCTGACAAAGTGTATGAGAAGAGTTTGATGGGATGAAAATAAATATTTAACTTGTAATGTTCACATACAATCACTTTACTATCGTGGGATAGTACCTGCATAATGCATATTCTGTAAAGGAGCTGAAAAATGAAGAGAGGGAGAAGGGTGAAGAAAAATTTTGTATCTTCCACGTGGAGCTCACTGTAGCAACCGCCATTTTTTTTCTTGGCATGGTCTAACCAGCTTGTCACATCTCCAGCAAGATGGCAATAGCGCAGACAGCATATTTTCAGTGCATTAATAAACACCCCAAAGGTTGTCAGGAGGGAGCAACCTGCAAGTAATTTGAGATATTATGTATTAGTAAAGGAATTGTTCTTCAATTTTCCAAGACGTCCATCAGAAAGATGACAATTGCAAGGATGAAGGGCAGTAAAGTGACTGAGAAGGTTTTAGCCCCCAAGGGGTTGAATTCAAAGGAACATGCTTCTGACAAGAGTTCTGGCATCCTGGTGACCAGCCCAAGGTAGTGCCTGACAGCTAAAGTAAAAAATGAAAAAGGTAAGATCAATGGAAACATATTAAAAAAGGAAGAAAGGTGACAAAATAAAACACCAAAGTAAGAAATTCCACAATCTCTTAGAAGTCTAACTCATTAATGAGTAAGACAACCAGAACTTTCTTTTACAGTCTTAACACAAAGGACTAGTACTAGTTCTTAATATAAATGGTTATATCAATAATCCTCACTTGTCAGGGGGTGGTTTCTTATTTTGACATGGAGATGAAGCGAAATGTATTCTCTGCTTTGACGTTATCCTTGAATTTCAGATGTAAGGTTAAACTTTGAACTCTTCAAATGACTTTATACATGTTGATAGCATCACTAAAAGTTCAGATTGGATTAGCTGGCTTTTGACTTTTCCAGTAGTTTCTTCTGGGTTTATATGGCTGTCACTTCAGTATCCAAAGCATTTTATTGCCTCAGATGTTAGCAGTCACTTACTGCTTGTGATTTGCAACCTCACTGTTGCTTCTTTCATGATCTTTCAGATACCACCTTTTCTTTGACTCCATTAGGACTTCCTGATACAATGACAGATAAGGGACACTTCCCCACCCCCCTTTGAGTTAGCAGTTCAGCTGTGCCACCATAATTGTTATAATTTTTCATAGTACTCTTTCGACCAAAGAAATCCTTCTGCAAATTACATAGACACCAAGCCATGGTTGCAGGATAAACGGTATAATAAATGTAAAAATGTTTGAGTTTCTCCAAGGAAGGCCACTATAGAATTTTGAAGTATAGTTTGATGGTCATTTTGCTTATGTTCAAATTTCCCATAATAAAATTATACGTGAAATACATTCTAACAAATTCATATAAATGTGGTCAAGTATTGGTTTTTATATTTAAATAAAGAATATTTATTACTTTTTCTTTTTATGGTTATAGAGTGATTATATTGATTTGATCTCTTTTAAGAGTTGTAATAGACCTATTATGTCAGCCTTTGATTAATTGAAGAAGCTGGGGGCCTGGTAATTGAATATGGGACCTTTCACCTCTAAGTCACTGAATCAAATCCAGCCCAAATTGGTAGTGACCAAGAATGATTATAGCAGTGGCTCTTTGGCGGCCTCTGTGAAGTATGTTGAGGTCAACTGGAAGTATGTTGAAATAATTGCTTCTCCTATGGGCTCATACCTGTGGTCACTATTGCCTCTTCTTAGTCACTATTGCCAGAACACAGAGGAAAGCCCAGGGACTAAGAGCACCAAGGGAAAAGAAGCCCCTGTGAGTGGTTGCGTCTCTTAGGAAAGAAGAGGGACATCTTTTTATTATTGCAGGAAGAACTGCTCTATTATGAGACTTTCCTAGCTATTTCAATTAGTTTACTTAAGACTTTAGTAAAATGAGAACTGAGAATGCCTTGATGAACAGTCTGGAAACTGAATTTGAACAGGTCTGGGCTAGGAGGCTTAACTTCCTGACATTTCTTTATGAACTTGTCACTGTTGCTCATCAGTCTGTTCTCTGCTCAACTTTTGCAAAACAGTGCTGTGTAGATGGAAGGGTTATTACTGGCATTAATCCAACTTACTCTATGCTTTTGAATAGGCTTTGTGATAAAATGACTATTCATAGGATGAAAGACTATTTCCACAGATATTCTCCCCAATTTCCCCTCTCTTTCTTTAAATTCAGGTGCTTATATTGAATACATGTTTTGAACCCATCATTCTGTTTTTGTTTGAGTGAATCACCATTTGTTGCAAGATGAATTGTCATCTGCTCTTAATGCATGGTAAACTGATACCTGCAACCTTAATAAATATTTAAATATCTTTATCATATTATTTCTAAAGAGGAATAGTTTGGATTATTGCTTCTTAAACTAGCTGTGCTAAAAAATTTTTTTTAAAAAGTCTGAGCCATTATGGTCAATACATTTTTAAAATAACCATAAAACATAATACCTAAAGAATAAAATAAAACAAAGACATAAATAATATAAGTCCTGATATTTTTATTATTAGATTCAACAGACATAGAATCTAACTTTCAGTAAATGTTTCTACATGTTTTCTCTCAGTGTCTGTATTTATTTTGTTGCATATCAATAACAAACAGTTCATTGATCAGCAGTGCTCCATGGATAAGGCTTTGAGTAGCACTGGCTTCAACTAAATACTCATTTTGAAAAATGAATTTTATTTAAACAAGTAAGTTATATCTGATAGGGTGATATGAAACAACAAAAACAATGGTTAAGAACAAAAAATGATTGAGCATGAATGAGGTCTAGAATTTTAGCTAGGATAGGGAGGGCACATAATTGATTCCAAACAATTGTGAATATGCAATCATTCATTCATTCAACATACTAAGTTCCTACTATATGCCAAAGGTTTTTTGGAGCCTGAGAATAATAATAGTGAACGAGACCTACAAATTTCTGAGTTTTCCTTCTGGTTGGGGAGACACTTTTTAGCAGAAAAATATAAGGCATGCTCAATGATGAAAGCAAAATGGACTTCTAAGACAGACACCCAGTATGGGATAGAGAATAGAGACAGCAGAAAGAGTTGAAATTTGAACTGTGGCTCGAATGACTGGAAGTAGGCAAAAGACATAGAGGAAGCGTATGCCAGATATGTCACAGGGTAGAAATAAGCTGGGGGCACCTGGGTGATTCAGTTTGTTAAGCATCTGACTTCAGCTCAGGTCATGATCTCAGGGTCCTAGGAATGAGCACCAGATCAGGCTCCTTGCTCAGTGGGGAATCTGCTGGTCTCTCTCCCTCTGCCCCTTCCCCTGCTTATACCCCCTGTCTCTGTCTCTCTTTCAAATAAAATAAAATAAAAATCTTAAAAAAAAAATCTGAGAGTGGTTCAGTATCCGTAAAGGTCAATTTGAGGCAGTACCTCAGTTAGAAGATTGGAAGAAGGTGAGGTTCCAGAGTTGGTCAGGGATCCGACTTCACAGGCTGAAGTAAGGAGCTTGGAGTTTGCCTTCAGTGTTACAGGAAAGCATTAAGAAATTTTATGCAGAAGGGAGATAACTGTAGGATGTATACACTTAAAAAGTTACTCTTGAAGTCTGGTAGTGGTGTGGATAATAGGTTTGGAAAACAAGAGGGGAAGCTGAGAGAGGGCAAGAGGTAATGGTGACTTGGACATAGCAATAGCAGTGAAGAGAAGTGGACAGGTAGGCATGTGTGTTTGAACAATCAGCAGTATTTTATGATGGGGGGAGCTTGAAGAAATGGGGAAGTTTGAGGATGACTACTTACTTTTTCCTTAGAAAACTGGGTGTTGGTGATAGACATTGAGATGAAGAAGACAAGAAAGGGGCTTGGTTGCCTTTGGGTGAATCAGGACTTGAGTTTTGGTCAGGTTAAGTTTGAGAGGACCATTAGATAACCAAGTTAAAATGTCCATGCATGTTTCCAAGAAATGTAGGAAAAGCTTTTGTCTTCTAATAGCCTGTTTTCTGTTCTTTTCATTTTTGAAAGCTGACACCTTTTTGTGCTTGTATTTTTATTTTAATGAGGTTTTGAAAGGTAACATTAAATATATATATATTATATATATATGTTTATATATATTAGAGAGAGAGAGAGAGAGGGAGAGGGGGAGGTGAACTGTGTAGAAATGTTTTAAATTGAAAAATAAAAGTTTTCTACCATAAAAAAAAATGTTGACTAGAAATTGGATATGTATGTTTCAAGGTGAAGTCAATATGAACTTGAGTGTTTGGTTTATAGTTGATATTAAAAGTGGGATTACAGGTTACTTGAGGAAAGAGGGTGTAAAGAGATGAGGTCCAGGGAATGAATCTTAGGGCTTTGCATCAGTTAGAAGATTATCAGAAGAGAAAAGAGAAGGACTATCAAGGAGATTGAGAAGGAGTGGACAGTGTGCTATATGGGTTTTAAGTCAGAGGGAAAAGAAGTAGTAATCCTAAATTGATCAGTCAACCTGGGAGGGAGTCATAAGCTAGTTCGAGAGGGCAGGAAAAGGAAATATACAGTCATCTGTCTGCCCAAGGAGAGCAGCAGATGCCCCATCAACCCAGGGTATTATCCCTGAATGTTAGGAGAGATACCCTGTTGAAAACATCTCTTTCTAAACATCACACCACCTCTGTGGATTAATCCATTAGACTTAATAGAAAATTCATGCCTTCCGTACAAATAATTTGGGGTGTCATGTAGACTTCACTTTTAAAAAAATCCATTGTCATTATAATTTTCAAATTGCTTTTCTGCACCGGGAGCAGAAATGGGAAGTTGAAAAAAAAAAAAAAAAGGAATGAAAATGCAACTGAGACTTCAAGCTCTAGTTTAAATGTGCATGGCAAACACACCAGGCGTGTACATTTTAAAATAAAACAGATGAGCTATTTTAAATGTTTTATTGCAAAACTTAAAGATTGTAGCTATTACTATTAAAAAAAAAACTTTAGAAAGCAATTTTTCTATTCTTTGTACCTTTAAGTCCTTGGCTCTGATGTTCTGCTCCTCTGACCTTGATCTAATCATGAATATCTATGCTACTTAATTATAATAAAAAAAGCCTACATTGCACTCTAGATGGTAGATGCACATTTTTTCTTCTTTGGTCACCTGCCAGTTCTCAAAATTATAGCAGTGGGAAGAAATGCAAATGAAGGCCGTGCTTGACAGCTAAACATAATGGAATGCATGGTCCACATTTGAAAAGTTACCTTAAAATAAAAGGTAGCATATAAAAAATCATTTCTTTAAGGTCACCTATGGCTTTGAATTACAGCTTTGAGGAATTTCCAATTTAGTCATCAGAGAGGAAGAAGCCAAAATAAGGATTATATACTTGGCTAGAGGGAAGACAGCATTTTACTTCATCGTAGTTGGGTGATCTTATTACTTGGAAATAGAAAACAAGACAAAACTGAAAACTGTGAAGTATTCAGTTTATGGAGTATTATGTAGAGTAAAAGATGCCAGAACATTTTCTATTATACTTTTAATTACAATTATAAAATGTTTTCTCATGAATTTCCGAAGAAAGTTTACTTCATCATGTATTTAAATATGTAACATAAGGGCTACAATAGGTTGGTGGTGAACAGTAGCTTATATATGCCTGTATTACATGAAGAATTATATCTCTTTATTCAGATAAATATATTTTTAAATAGGAAATTGGGAAGCAAATTTATAATTTACATAGATAAATTATGAATTTATATTCACAAACCCCCAGAATTATTTGCTAATTACACACTCCAGAAATGACTAAACTTGTCTTTCCATGAAATTTTATGCTTTATAGTTTTCTCTTTTTTGCTCTGTGGGGCTGACAAAGACCAACCCTCATAGACCTTTCTGCATATTGAACCCATTCCACAGATTGCCAGGAGGAAGTATACTGTTTAGCTGTGATCCACAGACCACAGAGCTCTGAGAAATGGAGGGAGATGTTCCTATGGATGAAATTTTCCATACTTCCAAATGTGCTATAATAAAATCAACTCCACACTGGGTGTTGTACGTAAGTGATGAAGCACTAGATTCTACTCCAGAAGAGAATGTTGCACTGTATGTTAACTAACTCTAATTTAAATTAAAAACATCATAAATGATATGCTGAAGTTGCCAGAGAAGCAGAGCAAAGCATATGGAGCCTGAGCTATAAAAGGATACAAGGTACCCTTCCTACCTACTTCACAGGCTGGGGGTAAAAATGAGGTAACATTGGTGAAGACCCTCAACTGGTAAAAATACAGCTCATCACATCACTCTTAGTAGTAGAAACAGTGGTAGTAGTAAAAAGAAAATATATGAGAAATTAAGGTCAGAGTTAGAAAAGATAGATTAATAGACTGACCAAGGAACAGAGTAGAAACTCCAGAAATGCAAGTGTCTATATGTACAATGAAGGTGGCATCTCATATTAGTGGGGAAAATTCAGACTTTGAAATAAGTGAGTTTGGATAACTTGACAGTTACATGGAAAAAAGATAAAATTAAGTTCACTCTTAAAACCTATTTTGTTTTATTTTAAAAAAAGATTTAATTAATGAATTAATGAATTTGAGAGAGAGTAGGTGGAGGAGCAGAGGGAGAGGGAGAGAGAGAATCTCAAGCAGACTCTGTGCTGAGCTTGGAGCATGATGGGGACTTGATCCCACAACCTTGAGATCATGATGTGAACCAAAATCAAGAGTTAGAGGCTTAACCGACTGAGCCACTCATGTGCCCCCAAACCCATTTTAATATAATTTCCAATGGGTCAGAGATGCAAAGATAAAAAAAAAAAAGAAAGAATATGAGTACTGAAAGAAAATTTGAGTGAATATCTTTATATTCTGGGAGTAAGGAAAACTTTTCCAACATAATTCAAAATCTAGAAGTAATTAGGGAGACAACTGATATATTTTCTTATAAACATAACCCCTCATCAAAAAAAAAAAACTTAAAAATCTTGTGTGTAGAAGAAAAACACAAGAATCAAAGTTAAAAGCTATATGACAAATGGGGAATAATATTTGCAAATTTTATCATAAATAAAAATTTAACATCTACAATATAAAGAAATCTTCTAAAAATCAACAGAAAAAGTCCACAGTCCTACAGAAAAAAATGGACTAGATGTATGAACAGGTAGTTCATTGAAAGAAATACAAATTGTTCTAAGCAATGAAAAAATGTTCAACTTTTCTCATAATAAGAGAAATGTCAATTAAAACTTTTGCAAGATACCATTTTCCACCCTCAAGTTGTCAAAAATCCAAAAGTTTGACAAAATTACTTTGCTGGAAAGACTATGAGAAAACAGGCATTCTCATACATTTTTGGTGGAAACTCAACGGTACAACCACTATGGAAGGAAATTTGCTGAAATATAGCAAAGTTGTGTGTATAATTACTTTTTCACTTAACATTCCTACAAAGAGAGGATTACAGCAGGCTATTCACTAGAAACTACTTAACATAGCAAAAGCAAAAAAAAAAAAAAAGCAAAAAAAAAAAAAAAGCAAAAACCCATATGAGGCTGATAAAATAAACATCAATATGAAGCTGGTTCATTACATAATGGAGAACCAAGCAGCTATAAAAAGGAATGGGGCATATTTTTATTAACAATTATGAAGCAATCCCTAGGATAGATTAAATGAGAAAAGCAGGTGAGAAGAGTGAATAATATGCTCTTGCTCATATAAGGAGGGAAGTAAATACATACATGGAGACATATATACACACACACACATAAAAAATTTTAATAGTTTCCCTTATTACAAAAATGGAAAGATAATTCTTTAAAATATGTAAATGGACACCTAAGGGAATAGGAGAGGATATAGGAATATAAATAGACCTTGTTTTCTACATGAATTTTAGATACATGAAACTATTCCCAAGACTTAATTAAATTTTTACAATATGTCTAAGTATAAAGAAAAATGAAATAAATACATTTAATCTTCCATAAAGTTACTGAAACAACCACACAGAGAGAAACTATGAGTAACTTTAGGACATAATAATTTTGGTGTACATTCCTAGGGATTATAAGATAAAGAAAAAAAAAAGTGCAAGAATCTTGAAACTGTTTTCGATAACCATACTGAGGGTGCCAGTGTCAGGCTAAGACTACTGAGTCTTTGAGATAAAGCAAATGTGTGGATTATTGTTGTCATTGAGAACTGGGATTCTTGGCCTAGGAAATAAGAGAAAAAGACGTGAGTTTGATAGGATAAGGAAAAATCCTTCAGCACTGGTTTTGATAAAGGTATTAGTATAATCCAAAATGTATGTTATTCTAGAAGGAAAGAAAAAAAAAACATTTTCTAGCTTTGTCCACAGAAAAGTCTAGGAACCATGATAGACTAAGTAGCATTGAGCATCCCCATAGCCAAAATTATAGTCTCTAATTACCAACATCCGTGGAAAGGAAACACCGTTTTTTTTGAGAAGGAGATGATTCCAAGTTCAGGGAAAGAAATGATCACCATAGAATATGCTGGTATATCAGAAAGCAAGGAAGCCACAAAAGACAACAGAGGCTTGTCCGAAAGACTCAGACACCAACTCAAAGAGAACCTCACTGCCCAAATATGGAATAATCTGAGCACTGATAACTGCAGTGGATTGAAACTTATTAAAAATTTTAAGTCCATAAATTAATAATAATAGTTTTTCTAAAGTAATCATCCAACAGGTCTACCTCTGGAAGATACTGAAAGTCTAAAAATAGAGTAAAAGAATTAAACATTTGTTTTCTTTTTCTTATATAAACTGTACCTCTGTATAATTGAATACTTACTGAGGAGAGATTTCTCTTTATAGAATTATTTCAGCTAATAAAGGAGGAATAAATATGGACTATCACTGCCTTGTAACCCACAGTGGAGTATGGACTTAGGCAGAAATCATCAGTGGGTGCTGATACTGTAAAAACAGATAATCAGACATCTCTTCTCTTTGTTGAAGTACATAACACCATCTATAAAGGAATTTTGTTTAAAAAAAATCTTAATCTGATCAAGCATGTAGGTCTTTCAGACAATTAAAAGGAATTAAGAAAGAGGAACATCTCTTGAGGGACAACATGTGGATGTAATCCATGAAATCCAGACTACGAGAAATGCTCTGTGGAATGTTCAGATTTCTTTAAAAATAAAATTTAAAAGAGACAGAAATGAAAGAGGAATATAGATGATGTAAGGGGCATTTCTGCCATTCGGAATGTATGGACCTATTTGGATTTGATTTGAAGTAAATAAAATACACAAATTTCAAAAATGGAAACAGATTTTAACAGTGAGCAGCTACTCTCCCTTTCATTGTGTGTGTGTATGTAATATTGACATTGTGAATATGGTTTTTTTAAAGTATGTCATTTATACATTTGCACACAAATGAAATGCTATAATATTTATTTATTTATTTTAATTTAAATTTTAGTTAGCTAACATAAAGTGCAATATTGGTTTCAGGAATAGAATTCAGTGATTCATCACTTACATACAACACCCGGTGCTCAACCCAGTAAGAGCACATCTTAAAACCCATCACCCATCTAGCCTGACCCCCACCCCCTCCCTCCATCCACTCTCAGTTTGTTCTCTATCTTTAAGAGTCTCTTGTGGTTTGTCCTCATCCCTCCTTTTGTCTTTTCCCCCTTCCCATTTGGTTATCTGTTTCCTTTCTTAAATTCCACATCTGAGGGATGTGATCATGGGGTATTTGCCTTTCTCTGACTGAATCATTTCATTTAGAAATGCTATTATACTTAATTTATTGCTTCAAAATCACCATGTGGGATGGGGAGAGAGTGAGTGGAGTTGATGATAGTTGAAGCAGAGAGTGCATACGGGATTTTTTTCCTACTTTTGTTTTTGTTTAAAACATCCAATTATTAAACTGATTTGAACAAGGGAAACCTAAAAGATCTTAGAGATTGTTGATATTCTTACAGACTTTGCTGCTCTCAAGTGTAGCAACTGGCAGACTCTACAAATCCTGTGAGTTGAAAGAGAAGTTACAGGGGATCAAAGATGAAGAAGATCAAGTAGATCAAGAAAACCATCAAAATCAAATAATTAATGTGAAGTGTGATTTACTTACATTTTTCTGGCTGATAAATCAAGTCACAGTGCATCATATGAAGGGTTGTCAAAGCCATAAGTGTAGACATAAAGGGAATGAGTAGAACCAGGGCCCCAGCCCCTGAGTGCTGGATGTAAGATATTCCCAGAAAGACAACAGTTGCTTTCAGGTTCATGATCCAGCAGAACCTGTGATACACAGACAGACAGAAATAAGAAGACCATTGAGTTACTTCAGAGAACAATTGTTAATTTTAATGCTTTGATATAGATGTAAGCTATGAAGTGGTGGCCTGTTAGCTGAACTAGAATTTGCCAGTATTATTTTAGACTTCTTTAAAAAAAAAAAAAGATTTTATTTATTTGAGAGAGAGAGAGAAAGAGAGAGAAGGAGAGACAAGGAGAGACAAGGAGCAGCGAGAGGAGCAGAGGGAGAAGGAGAAGCAGACTCCCCAACTAGCAGGGAGCTCGACATGGGGCTCGATTCCAGGATCATGACCTGAGCTGAAGGCAGACACTTAACCAACTGAGCCAGTCAGGCACGCCTGTTTATTAGACTTCTTAATAAGTGTGTACATATCCACTATGGAGTCTTATCAGTTTTGTTATCTTTGTTTCATTCCTTTTAGAACACGTGTGGAGAGAATGTGTTATCTAAAGACAAACTTTTTCTGCAAAGGGCTTCATAGTGAATATTTGAGGTTTTGAGGGTCATACCATCTCTACAGTAACTGCTCAACTATGTGTTGTGGCACTAGAGAAGCCATAAACAATACTTAATCAAACATGCCTAATAAATCTGGGAAAGGCTGCATGGTTAAAAAGCTGAATCTTCCTATTTATTCCACTCTTCAAAGTACGGGTAAACTGAGGAATACTTTGGTTATACCCAGACCATGCATTAAACCAAAGAAATGAGTGTCATTTGAATAAAACTTTCAGTACCTCTTCCTGATGAATAGTATTACAAATATGTACCCATAGCAGTAGTCTGGTTTGTAATTTTGGGGAAATAATCTGTATCTCTCATCCTTTCATTGGGTCTAAGCCCACGCTGTTAGAGTCCCATGGCAGAGGAGGGGTCTTAACATGAATTTAAAAAATTTATTAGGGTAAAATTAAATACAATAAAATATCTGCTTAAATATATAGTTTTATGAGTTTTGGTAAACTTTTCAGTTGGGTAAACACTAATAAGACCTAAGTTTTAGAATATAACATTATCACTAAGGTTTAAAGGGCCAACCTTGTTAGATGAGGCCCATCCAGGATTCTAGGATAATCTCTTCTTCGATTAATTTAAAAATCAAATTATTAGAGACTTTAAAAAAAGGCTTTATTTATTTTAGAGCGAGAAAGGGAGAGAGAGAGTGTGCACAAGTGGTGGAAGGGGCAGAGGGAGAGAGAAAGAGCCTCAGGCAGACTCCCTGCTGAGCAAGGAGCCCAAGGTTTTCAATCCTGTAACTCTGACATCATGACCTGAGCCAAAACCGAGACTTAGATGCTAAACTGACTGAGCCACCAAGGCACCCCTAGAGACTTTAGTTACATTGCAAAATCCCTTCACTTTTGCCATGTAACAACATAATTAGGGTTTGAAAAAAACCTAGGAGTGGAAGGGCTAGATGATACAGTAGATGAACATTTAACATTTTAAGAAATTTCCAAATGGTTTTCAAGTAATTGTAACATTTTGCATCAACTACAACATGCATATGAGAGTTTTAATACCTCCACATCTTGGCCAATACTTGGTATATGATCAGTCTTAAATTTTAGCCATTTTAATAGATGTGTGTTCGTATCCCATTGTGATTTTATTTTGCATTTCCCTAATGACTAGCGATATTGAGTATCTCTTCATGTGCTTTTATCCATCTGTATATCTTCTTTAGTGAGATTGCTGTTCAAAACTTTTGCCCATTTAAAATAAAACTAGGTTGTTTATTTTCTTATTATTGAATTTTTTAAAAGATTTTATTTATTTATTTGACAGAGATCACAAGTAGGCAGAGAGGCAGGCAGAAAGAGAGGGGGGAGGCGGGCCCCCTGCTGAGCAGACAGCCTGACGTGGGGCTCCATCCCAGGACCCTGGGATCATGACCTGAGCCAAAGGCAGAGGCTTTAACCCACTGAGCCACCAGGCACCCTTATTATTGAATTTTAAGAGTTCTTTATATATTCTGGATGCAAGTCTTTCATCAAATGTATGATTAGTAAATATTTTCTCTCAGTCTGTGGCTTGTCTTTTCACTTCTTAGCAGTGTCTGTTGAAGAGAATTAAGTTCTTAATTTTGGTGAAAGCCTATTATTATTATTATTTTTTCCCTCTTAAGGATCGTGCTTTTATTTATTTATTTTTTAATTTTTTATTTCTTTTCAGTGTAACAGTATTCACTGTTTTTACACCACAACCCAGTGAAGATCGTGCTTTTATTGTTGTATCTAGGAAATCTTTCCCTAACCCAAGATCACAAAAATTTTCCATCTCTGTTTCAGAGAAGAAATTTTAGCCTTGGAGACCTTTACGGTTTCAACTGAATTCTCACAGCTGCATTGTTGCAAAGCCATGAGTAGGAGCCCTCGTCCTGATGCAGCCTCTAAGAAGAGGCTAACTTGACTATGTGTCTTTTTTACACTTCTTTCCTATTATCAAGTTCATGACACCGCCATTTCCTCATTAATACAAGCTTTAACATTCGAAATTACCTTTCACTCATGCTTCTCTCCAAATTTTATATATTATTAATTATAAATATTGTTTCTTTCTCTTGGAATGATGCTCAAAAAGACATGAATTTGGGACACCTGGGTGGCTTGGTGGGTTAAGCATCTGCCTTTGGCTCAGGTCATGATCCAGGGACCCGAGATGGAGCCCCGCATCTGGCTCCCAGCTGAGTAGGAAGCTTCCTTCTCCCTCTCCCTCTGCCCTTCCCCTCTGCTTGGGCTCACTCTCTCTCTCTCTCTCTCTCTCTGTCTCTTTCTCAAATAAATAAATAAATAAATAAAATCTTAAAAAAAAAGGACATGAATTTGAGTGAAAACTCTGATAGTCACATGATCTGTGTCTTAGGCTTTCTGGATTTCTGGGTCTTTATCTTTAAAATAGGGATCATACCCTCCAGACAGGTTTCTTGTAAAGACTGAATGGAGAACACACACTGGAGCTGCACTGTGCTAAGCTAACGTTGTCATGTTCTTCACTTTTCTTCAATCTTGATTCCAGAAACAAAATGAGCAAGGAAGTTGGAGCGTGGTGAGCAAGGAATAGACCATTTGGAGACATGATCCACGACTAAGTGGGATTCAGATCATGCAAGGCCTTGAAGTCCACGGTAAAGAGTTTGGTTTTTATTCTTAATATATTGGGAAGCCATTTGAAGGAGATTGATCATGGGGCTGAAATGATGTGCTTTTAAATGGAAAAAAAGAAACGATTATCATGTCAGGTCTATGCATGTAGATTATGCATGGTCAGGGCCTGGTAAGACGAATCACAGCTGCTGTAGCCTGGAGGAGAGTTAGAAGTGAGCTGGACTGCGGTTAGCAAAGTCAAGGGAGAGAGGGAGACAGGTTTGTGACGTATATTTGGAAAGGGGACATGTGCCCAGCTAGCCCTGTGCCTTCTCTGTCCTATAAACATGGTTGCTCATTTTCACCTCTACAACTTTTTTTTTAAAAGAATTTTATTTATGTATTTATTTAAGAGAGAGAGAGTGCAGGAGTTGGGGGAGGGGCAGAAAGAGAGGGAGAAGGAGACTTCCCAATGAGCCGGGAGCCTGCCACAGGGCTTGATTCTAGGATCCTGAAATCATAACCTTAGCCTAAGGCAGATACTTAACCAACTGAGTCACCCAGGCACCCCATCCCTATACCTTTTCTCACTTAACTAAAGTTCCGTGTCAAGTCTCTTTTCCTTTATTCAACATTCTCTTGAATAGAAATTCTCTGAACTTCTAAGATAATCCATTCTGCAATGATTTCACTTTTGTTAGTTTTGTCTTCTCACAAACTGTCAGGCTTCCTGACAGGAACACCTTGTTCTTTGTCTCCATAGGACATAACATGGTTCTAGGATCACAATATAGGGATAGTAAATAAGTAATTGACGAATAACATGGCATCTCACAAAAACCACGTGATCCGACAACAACATATAAAAAACATTTTCCATAATTGACCTAGGAAAGTAATCAAACATCCAACATGGCCATGCTGTGGACTCTGGTTTACTATAATCCACCACCAGAAACTTGTCACAGTGCCAGTGAGACACAAAGCTAGAGTTTTGTAGGACAATTGGGTAGAGCTCCTAGGCTCAGTCTTGGGTCATCCTGTCGTACCGTTGCAAGCTGCACACTTGAGTTGCGGCTCACGCAACTAAGAGAAGCTGGAGCTGCAAGCAGTGTTATACCTCTTTCAATCTGTAGGAAACACTTTTTTTTAAATGTTCAATATTGCTGAGAAAATCCAAGAGGACATTGTGTGGCTCCTTGGAACACCACATGGTGTTATAAACTAAATCACTCTAAAGAGGGTCAAGGAAAATTACAATTATTCCAAGACTTCAATCCTGTAAAAGGCAGTTAGAAACAAAAGAATTATAGTGTTGAATAGCTTCGTATAGGAAGAGATTTTACACCAAGTACTAAATGTATTTTAACAAATGCCATCCAACCTATTTGACTGTGTAATTTTCTGGAAGAATTACCTAGTACAGGCATGTTTTATATATGTCTTTATTGATCCATGGACAGGATAAGCCATAGATAATTAAGGGTGAAATTGTATATGTATCAACTGTAAAAAAATAAAAGAAATAAAAACCCACAGTCTTCAAACTCACCATTAAGACTCTTTTCATCTCATAGCTCACTAGCAAATTGAGTATATAAAGCACCTCTCACACAGAAAGTCAGAGAGCAAAGCACTAAAGCAAAATAAATACCAGTGATTAAGGAAAATTGAAAGCAGCCGTAAAAATATGTTTCTTTAGTCTACTTTTAAATACAGACTGGGAACTGCAAATAACTGGGAGTACATATAAGTCTAATTTTTTTTTTTGGGGGGGTCTTCGTGATTCTGTGGCATTGAATACAAATAAGGGAAGGAAAACTTGTTGCTGCAAATCTCAGCAATCCTTTTGAGATTTTTTTCTTTTAAACATTCACCTTTACTTATTTAGTAAT